CACACCACCCACCCACCGCCCCACCCACCCCCCCCCACCCCCACACCCCCCACCCACACCCACACCCACACCCACACCCACACCCACACCCACACCCACACCCACACCCACACCCACACCCACACCCTTCCGAGAAACTGATATTCTGAATGACAGGCAATCATAATAATGTATACTGAGGAATGTCTTTCGTACCCTCTGATCACTTCACTTTTGGGTGTGGATGTGTGGATCGGCTTCTAAAGACGACTAACAGTCACACTCAGACCCATACAGTCCTCACCCACGTCCACCCACACCCGCGTTCGATTGTGTCTGGATTATTATCATAACTTTTAGTTAATGAGATTTTTAAAAATGATTTTAAGGATTTAAGAAGGCTTCTTAAACCCCAGAAGAACATGTTAACTCCCTTCTTTTAAAATTTTTCAGCTGAGAACGGAGCATATGTCGATGTAAAATTACTAATTAAAGTTGCAGATTTACAGAAAACTAATTAATGAAGCAAAGCTGTCTATTAAATCCGGCGGATGGTTTTTTCAACGAAGACCTTCTATTTTGGGAAGGAATTTATTAGGAAAATCTCGAAACAAGTAACTTGATCTTCTATAAATAAAGATAAGAAATCTGTACATAAAAAAACTAGTTATTTCGATTATTGTGATGAATATAGAAATGTAAGATTTATATATTTCCACGTAAAAGCGCAAAAAAAAACAAGTAACTTCAAAGTACTCAAAAGTGTTTTCCAAGTTTTGTTTTTGATTGAGCAAATGACTTGCACATGAATTGAGAAATATTTTATCCTTAAGGCAAAAGTAAAATAAAGTCCGTGTTTCCTTTTATTTCTTTCTAAAAAAAATGAAAACGAAAGAGAAAGATTGTTCTTATTCAACATCAAATTTGTGCTAAAAAAAGAAAAATCAGCAAGATAAGATCATTCACTGAATTTTGTTTAACTATTACATGAAACAAATTGAGATAATTATATTTTTATCAATTTTTGTTTATTTGATATCGAATAAATTGAAATGAATCTCAAATTTCATCTTTTGTTTGCTTCTATTCGATTTCATTTACACGTTTTCTTGCTTTTGACATACAATGTACTATTTATTGATTAGTCTTTTGATCATATTTTCATTAAATTACTCCAGTTATTGTTCGTATCATTATGTGGGTTGTTATACACAAGTATTTCATGATAGTTATTTCACGAGTTCATTTATGGAACCAACATTATGTTTTCGTTTATGTGATACACCCGTAATTTATTTACAAAATGCAGTATGTCGTTGTTCAGGTGGTAGTCTTATGCATTATAAGCGGCAAAATGATTATCTTTGTAAAACACCATGTGCAAAGCCAATTGATCATTCAGTAAAAACACTTAATACATGTGGTGGTTCCTTAACATATTCAGCTTATGTTCAAGAAAAATATTTTATTCAACATGGACATTTGTTTGATTATCAAATTCATTTTGCTTCATGTGAATTATGGGCAAACTCCGATGTTTACGATGCGTCTGAAGTTCGATTAAATGATATTATTGAACGATCATTTTTAAATAAATTAGAACAATGTACAGCTGCATGTTTAGATCAAAATGCAACAACAAAATTCATAGGTACATTATATATTTAGATGATATTTACTTTAGAGACAAAATTTTCGTTTATTTAAGTACAATCTGGATTAGTTTTCCTCATTTAGAAAATCGAACACTATCTAAGTTTTAATACTTTCTGTAAAATAGGATCTATAAGAAGTGTTGAAGTATAGTTATAAAAATTCGAAACCCGTTCTCTCACAGACCGTGACAAACACTTTAACAGCGTCTCTCCTCTCTATCACAGATGTTGTTGATATACAATCGAAGACCGTATATCAATAGCATCTCGTTCTAAAACATGAAGTACTTCCTCATTGCACTGCTGGAGGACTAGGTAAAATAATGGTGAAAACATGTGTCTCAAAATAGATAGAATAAAGGAATATTTCTGTGATTAGCAAGAGTGCCTACATCGTGCTTCACATTTTAATCCCATACGAATTGCGCTAACAACTTTTTCATTCGATAGTATCTACTTTGGTTTATGCAATTACTCCCGTGTATTTGAGAATACAAAATATTGGCACACTTGAGAATTGATTCTGTATTTATATTATTATACGTTGAATGATTCATTCTTGACTCATAAATTAGATTGTGACACGACACTTACCCGTAAAACCAGTCTTTCTGAAGTGGCATCGGAAGCAACACCCAGTAGACTCTTATTCATTTTTCTAGATCTCGTTATACCTTAGTAGAGTTTGTGTACTTAATAAACCAAGATATATCTTGACCGATTTTACAGATGAATCTTATCTATGAAAAAAAAAAACTTAGAAATTTTGAATTATTTTGTAATTTATTTGTCTCATGAACGTGATATTATCAGATTAACAAGACTCATTAATATGAATAAAAGAAAGATCTTCTGTTTCCATATTATTGGATCAATGAGCATGAGTTACAAGAATATGAATAAGATCATAGGCATTATTAATATTCAGAAAAAAAATTGAAATTATTATTAATTAAGCAAGAAGAGAGCAGAAAAAATGCCTTTTTTTGCCTAAGCACTGGCGTAATAGTACATCACATGGAAAAGTCGATCAATCAAATTATTGATATGAAATATTTTCACTTTGAATTTCTTCATTAAATGCAGATAAGAATAGCTGAATGTAATTAGCTGTAAACATTATATTTGGATTTATAAAGATAAGTCAAGTAACTTTTTCAGGAAAGAACCTTGCCAGGTGATAGATTATTTTTTGAGATAAATCTTACGTCATAAGATAGGCTCGATTACAAGTAGATAAAGCCGACACAAATTTATGTTCACGGGTATTCCTCATTGAGTAATGACCATTTAATGAGTTTTTAAAAACAAAATTTTGTGCTTTAAATTTAGCATAAATAAAATCATGTTTCAG